TTTCAACTGTGAATTTTGGAGCTTCGACAAGATGGAGGTTTTTTCCTCGAGGTCGGCCTGTTAGCTTAGCTCATAGCTTAGCTTTAACAATGCAAAAACGCGATTTTGGGCGGTTAAAACAGATTTTAAAGGAAAAAGAAAAAAGAGAAAGGGAGGAATCAGTGAAGAGCACCGGAGTTGAGCCTTTTGTCATCCAGTGTCTTCAGTAGAAAGAGAGACACAAAGACACAATAAAGTTGATAGATGAAAATGAGGTTGATAATTTTCATTTATCATGCGATTAATTATGTATTGTTTATCGCGAAAGGCCTAGTGGCAGTCATCTTGAATTAGTTAAAATATGTAAATATAAACAAAACTGATTCCGATATGTAATGACAAAGTTTTAAGCAAATGTGTCAGAACAAAGACAGTGCCGGGGTGGATCTTAGCTACTACCAACTGCACCAAATATTAGCTCAGAATCTGTAAAACTCACAAAGTTATAGTCAGTTTTGTGTTTTCTAAGATCATTTGGCTGTAAATGTCATCTTGAATTAGACAGAGTTCAAAATCTAGCCTGTTATAAATCTATTTTTAATAATTATTTTTTTAAGTTTCATTAAAAGCCGTGCAGTGGTTTATGAGATATTTTGCAAACAGACACGGTTGATGACAATAATTAATGGCAAAGTTTTAAGGACAAAGCTCACGTGATCAGTTAGCTCTGAGTCTAAGTTGAGGATCAGTCTCAACAACAACCACAGCAACTTTTAGTTCAATATCTGTAAAATTGACAGTTTAAACTTTTTGTGTTTTAAGGTCATTCATCTTGAAACAAGTTAACTTTAAAAGTTAGTCATTTGTAGATGTACAAAATGAATCTCAATACGATCTTTACATAAATTAACATTAGTGCAGCAGTCCCTCGTTTAGAGCGGGGGGTTTCATTCTCAGCTCCCCCGCGATAAGTGAAAAACCGCGAATTAGGAATAGTAGTACGAGTAGTAAGTAGTAATTTAATTCAAATTAAAAAATCCATGCCGATCGTGTGGCTCATCCATCAGTCAGCTAATTGTGTCATGTCCAATCTTACTTTGAAAAACCGCGCAAGAGCGAGTACGCGAAAGTCAAACCGCGAAGTAGCGAGGAGAGGGACTAGCGTATATGAAAACAAAAGTTATCAAAATAAACTCCATAAGTATAAATTATTTGTTTCTTTCACTTTTTTGATGACACATAATGCTGATCAGTGCTACAGAGAAGTTTGTTCAGGTTATGATGTATAAAAACGTTAAAAACATTTTTGATGGGAAAGATCTCATCTGTGAGCACCAGTTAGCACCATTTTTCGGCATTAAAGACGAATCAGCTAAAAGAGGCAACTATATATGTAAAGAATATAAAGTTAGTATATTAGTATATTTTCTGACACTTATTCTCCTAACAAAAGAGCAAAAGCTGAAGTTAACTAATCTCTAGGACACAGATAACTTCCTGCACTTCACCACTGAGGATGGTTGGATATTACAGCAAGAGCAGCATCATTCAAAGACTTGGGAGTCCCTTTATTAATAAAAGGAACAAGGTCTTCAAAGCAGGCAATGATCTTTAGAAGTCCTTGGCGACTTCTGCAGCAACCACCCAGAACAGAGGGGAGCTAGATTAGCTGAAGGGTATCCCACATGTACTCGTTCTCTTATTTAGCTGTGAACGATTCTCAAAGATTTACTCGCTGTAAGACTGACATGGGACTTGGCGCTCCAAGGCAAAATACAGTACTATAAGCCCCTTAAGCTTATTCCCAACTTTCAGTCAAGACTGCTAACAGAAAATAGACACTTTTGCAGATGTTATTATTCAATTTATTCCTGTAGCATGATGCTCATGAATGCATCTGAGGCTTCCATGTGCAATAGGTGCTGGAGGAACTGAGGTCTGCTAACAAAAAGTAAATGCAGGTAAAAATCTTGCAAACATATCTTAGTTTGCTGTTGCTTAAGGCTAAATTCCAGTTCAACCCCCCACAACTTTTTTTTTTTTTTTTTAGAAAAGGGCATCTGAATCTTTTTGATATGAAGTGAGGTTAAAGTGCAGATATTTCACACTGAAACTATCAAAACTAATGAGGAAACATGTATAATCTCTACAGTGACTATAACGTATAGACAGGTTTTCTTCATTGTATAACATTTGACGAATCTGTAGTTCTTCCTTAACAAGCACAGAAAATAGTATTTGCTAGTCTGATAATCAGTTTTACGTCACCACATATGGGCGTGCCGATGTGGTATCGGTTTACTTAAAAGGAATTGGCTTCTTGAAGTAGTATCTCATACATATATACAGAAAAATGATCTAACTGTGAAAAAGAAAGTTGCTCTGCACGTTCTGTTAAGGACAAGCACATATGTGGGGCACAACAGCAAGTGTTCAGGTATGTTCCTCTCAAGTCTCCAGTTCTGTGAAAGGTTGCCCAGTTCAGCAACGTTACGACCTCTGGGATCGTCCAACAGCCTGAGAAGGTCTGCTGAAGGGACTCCTTCGGTTTGGAATAAACCAGAAACACCAAGCGGTCCTCTCATGGCTCATCTTCCCACTTTTCTTTTTGGAATGATACCGGTTGTCATTTTTTTAACAGGTGGAAGGTAGGTCATACAAAGCTGTCTTGGGGAAATAAAATTCTAAAATTACTTTGAAAATATATAGAGCATAGAGGGCATGTGAGAGACAGGACCGACAAGGGTTAGTTGATGAGGAAGAACAACAATACTTCAGTTGCCTACAGAACAAACAATGCAAAAAAATAAAAAAAATAATTTCTGTAGATAAACAGCAAAGAAAACTTTGCTCCCAATATCAGTCATGGAGTAGAGAAGCTGCAATTTTTTTCGAACCTAGATGCAACATTCATCTTGAGCTCGAGGGCAAATCAAATCTTTTTGCTGAAATGACAAATCTGTGATTAGGGGACAGTGCCAGATGCATCAAAAGCTGATTTCACATACAATTCTCTCACATTATTCATCTTACTTTAGTACCTGGCAGTAGAGAAGAAAAGAAATGACGTTTGCTCTTGCTGTGAAGGGTTTCTGCGTTGGCATAGCATTGTTTTAGGCCAGTAGTTTTGTTTTAATTAAGTCAACGGGGAAATGGAACGTCACTCTAAAGTGAGCCATGTCCTGAACCTCACCGCATACTTGGAGAGAAGAAAAATGACACGGAAGCAGGGTGGAAAATAAAACAACTAAAAGTTTTGATGAGAGTCAGAACACATTTAAATTGAAAATGGAGACAGTTGCTGTGCAAAATCAGAAAACGCTATGCACTGGCAGATTATGAAAAATAGACCACCAGCAGGATTTTCGGCAAAGCTTTAAGTATTGTTGATATATATAAAAAAGATCCTGGTGATAAGGGTGCCACTGTAGTAAACTGCAGAAGTTGGAGATTGTAGAAGAAACAAAACGAGTGATATAAATACAAATCCATAGGTGCCAACAACAAGCTGTGA